GAGAGAGAGAGAGAGAGAGAGAGATTCCTAGGAACAATTCAAGTGTTCATCTGGTTGTGGTCGCATATGTATTTCACACCAAACTTTGTACATTACATTTAGTCATCTCCTCCGGTTGTCGCTCAGTTGATCGCTGTGCAGTCTGAAGGCATCACTGATCACTCCTGTTGTTCATTTGTTCTGTTTCTTAAAAGATTTTGTCTTTTTCTTGTCAGTGACAAACAGAAAGACACATCGGCCCTATCATAAGGATCTCAGCCATCTTTATAAAACGAGGCCTTGAAAGTTGAAACACAATGAATGGCATTGAATCCAACGAATCAGAGGGGTATGCTGGGGTTAACAGCTATGCTGGTGCTGCTCGATGCTCTCTCAAAAAATTGCAGTATATTTATTATTTAATGCTGTACTGGGGCACAGCTACCATTTTATTTGAATCTGCCAGGTATTTGCCGCTTTTTTTCTTCTTCCGCGTTTTCCTTTACAGACAACATCTATCTCAAGGATTTTTGTGCACCCAGCCAGGCGTAAAAGGCATGCCTCAGTTGACAGTGGGGCTGGGGACGTGGGGGGAGGGGGACAAGGTTTGTGAGTAAAGTTGGGTGTTTGTTGGCGTCCCAGGAATGACTGTTTTTTTTTTTTTTTGATTGGGGGACAGCCATATACTTTTCTATCACCTCACATATTTTTTAACTGTGCCATATCATGATGGAACATATATTTTTTCCTTTCACTACCTACCTACCACTAATGAAAAAAAGATGGTAGGTAGGTAGGTAGGTAGGTAGTGGAAGGGTTGTTTTGAGAAGCCCTGAGAATTACGAAAATCCTGAAAAAAAAAAAAAAACACTGAAGCCTGAAGGTGAACTTCACCTGGAAAAGCATTTGCAAGGAATATGAGTGTGAACGATATACAGAAAATCAAGTTGCGAAATCACACAGATGTCCAAGTAGTCGGGTACAAGCAGAGAGCATGATTACACTGAAAATCCATCCAAATAGAGTAATACAATGAAGTAATGAGCCAATGTTCAAGCCCGCAGGCCACACCAACACAGTATTCAAAGTCGCTCCTCTGTGTCTGGTACCCAGTGCCTAGCCTACTCTACTCGATTATCCTATCTACAGCTGTGTTCACGCAACAGGCTCACTTCGACTCTCGAAGACCAAATGTACATGATGTCAACACCATAGCCGACCTCTTTTCATGCACCAGGTACGTATGTCGTCACCCTCATCAGACCTTGATACCCCACACTCGCCTCCTTCCTTGAAGACCACCAGATCGCCCTCTTACCCCCTGGCGCCCAGCAGCCCGGCTATGGCTGTCTGCGCCCCGCTGACCTGCAGCGCCCCACTTCACCTCTATGCGCCCCGCCAACGCCCTGACCATTAGCGCAGCATCCAATGCAGCAGTGCAGCAGCGTGACTGCATTGCCTGCGCAGGCCCGAATGCCTGGCCTGGGCTGCCTCACTTCCTATATGGAAGTGGCAGCCTCCTGGATGCTGCGTGTGGCCTGGCTGGAAGCTTCCAGTAGCTTCCGGTTGGGCCTCAGTCCCTGCGCCCAGGCCCGAGACTACAGTTGAGGGCCTGGGCCCTTTACAGTTGGGCACGGCCTGAGTCTCTGGACTTGGGCCGTTTGCTGCATTTGTTCAGGGCCCCGGGGTAGGTGCGTCGACAGTACTGCTTTTGCATAGGCCGGTGGGCGCTTCACGATGTATCGGCCCTGCTTTGTGTTTATGTGCCCAGGCGCAACTTGGGCCAACTGTACGGCGCAGCTTAGTGAGGCTCACGCGTCCACTCAACGAACTGGCGTGCTGCAAGAGCCTGAATACCCACGTATGAAAGTGTCGAATTTTGGCCTCTGATGAATATTCAGGCCCAACTTCACTTAGGGCGGGCACTCGGCTTGCTGGGGGCCTTTGCCCAGAACATGTATGTCTGACAGGGCGCCGTGTGGGCTCGTTCCTCGCACATTTGTGCCTGATGTTTTTTTGGCTCCCTAAGCCTCCCTTCTCATTTCCTTTTTTACGTTTTTTTTTTCTCACCCAATGTTGTTGGTGTTTGTGGTGCTCGCTTTACGGATTATTGGCAAGTTCGGTTTAATAAATGGTTTTGGATATAACATATCCTAGAAAACACTAAAAAATAGGTGGTCTGTTGTGCCTGCCTCTCTCTCTCTCTCTCTCTCTCTCTCTCTCTCTCTCTCTCTCTCTCTCTCTCTNCTCTCTCTCTCTCTCTCTCTCTCTCTCTCTCTCTCTCTCTCTCTCTCTCTCTCTCTCTCTCTCTCTCTCTCTCTCTCCCCACACACACACACACAAGTATTGGGACTCCTCTATCACGCGGTGCTCTTGCTATCACTGAGATGATGTTTCTTGAGTGGTAGCAATGGATCCGTACATCTGAGCCTAAGCCCTCCTCGGTGCAAGCACGGATTGGACCTCAGCCTCGAGAGCCAGTGCACCATGCTGCCAGCTTTCAGCAGTGAGTTACCATGCATGATAGTGTGATTGTCCAGTGTCTGTTTCAGTGAACGGCAGTGATCTTTCACTGTGTCCTTCAGATGTCATGTCACTCTCTGAGTTTTTCCTTTTGATTGCAATATCAACTGTTTCAGGTCAGTCCGTTATGAAAAAAATATTTTCAAATACTATTAAATTTGAGCTAAGAAAAAAAAAAAAGAGCTCAAATAATTGGTATTATTATTGCTTATTGTATCTATCTATGCATATAATAATGTTAGCATAGATTTTGTCAATTTTTGCGCTTTTCACAAGATCTTTGAAAAAAACTCTAGGGTTCAATAATTTCATCTCTGAATCCAGGGTTGTTGAAACTTAGCATCTGTTATTAAACCCACATCATACGTGTTTCATCCTCTTTTTAGTAAACTTCAAAGCCACAACAAATTCAAATTTTTATTAAACTTTAAGAAACAACGGCGGACATGGCATGTTTTGAGTTCCTGAAGGCACGAAAAACAGGCCTTCGGTGAATGTGTCAGGGCCTGAGTTCGAAAAGGCGTTCGTAACTCAGGCTGGCAGTGGTGTCAGGGCGGAGGTTTCATTTTTTTCGCTCGGTCGCGCCGTGCCGCGGCTGCAAGGAGAAAAAAAAGGTTTTTTTTTTTTTTTTTTTCCGGTCGGTCGCACCGCGCCGCGCCGTGCCGCGGCTGAAAAAAAACAAAAAAAAGGTGTATCGGCCCCATGGTCGGGCCATGGCCAAGATGTCTCGGCCACACCCCAGATTGGCCATGGCCCAGATGTGTAGGCCA